TCTCTTTCTCCTCTTTTTGGGATTTCTTCTCACTGCATCCTCTATGTCCTTGATACTCAGAATGCAGTCTGTGGATCATTACCAGCATCACCTGTGAGCATGTTAGAAATGCAAAATTTCAGGTGCCACCTGAGACCTGCCAAATCAGGATGTGAATTTTAACATAATTCCCAGGTGATCTGTATACACACTGAAGTTTAATGTTTCTTGCCTGCTCCTTTAATTTTCCACCCATTTGTCTTTCTGTGCTTCATCTGGATATTTTCTTCTGCTTATATTCCAGTTGACAAGTTATATCTTCAACTGTGTTTAATGTGTTATTAAATCCATCAACTGAGTTCTTAATTTCATGTATTCGGGTTTTTTTCTTCCTAGATTTTCCATTTGCTAATTTCCAATTCTCTGAAGTTTTCAATTTCATCAAGCATAATTATCTTAAAGTCCATGTTTGATAAAACCCAAGTTTGAAACCTTTGTGGATCTGTTTCTCTTTTTTCCCCCGATGGCTTTTGTTCATGTTGTCCCATTTTTTTTTTTTTTTTTTTTTTTTTGAGACAGAGTTTTGCTCTTGTTACCCAGGCTGGAGTGCAATGGTGCAATCTCAGCCCACCGCAACCTCTGCCTCCTGGGTTCAGGCAATTCTCCTGCCTCAGTCTCCTGAGTAGCTGGGATTACAGGCATGTGCCACCATGCCCATCTAATTTTCTGTATTTTTAGTAGAGATGGTATTGTATGCCAGACACGACATTTGCAAAATAGTTTGTAGAAATACTTTGTGGCATCTGCTGATGTTATCTTCCTAAAGAGAGGATTCATGTTTGTTTCTGATAGGCACCTGCAATCTGGGCACTAGCAATTTGGGGTCACTTCAATTCAATTTCCAGCATTGAGATGATTTGAAGGTGAGCTGTCTGCTTTTGGTTCCCTTTTGCCCTTAGAGTGGCATCCTTTATGTTCTCAACTCTAAGTGAGGTGGATTCACCAGACAGACCCCCACAGACGGCAGGCCCTGACCTGACCTCCAGTTCATGTCTTTCTAGTGCCGTTCAGCTTCTCGGCCACTGCCTCCAGGTTCAGCAAATGTTCCTTAGGAAAGGAGCTGTTCCAAATGTCAGGCTCACCTCCGGGGCCTCTATTTTCCCCCGGATTCTGGCCCAAGATTCGTCACTCTCTTGCTAGCTTTCTGATGCCTTCAACAGGTGTTCTAAAAAGTAGTTTGTCCATGTTTCCTAGCTGTCCTCAGCAAGAAGAATGAGTTTAAGTTACCCAATCCACCCTTGCTGGAGGTGGAACTCCTCTGATACGTTTTTCTAAACTTGTCACTGCCCTTCATCCTCAGTGCTGTTGCCTTAGTATATAATCTAATATATCTCTGCCTACACAGGTTCTAACTGGTCTCTCCTTATTACCCACCTTTTGCCTGTGATCAACAAGAATTACCTTCCTAAAACATGGGTCTAGTCATGCCTCTTCCTCAGTTAAAGGTCTTTAAAGTGGTCTAAAATTCAAGTCAATTTTGCACTTGGAGGTCATATTGCCAGGTTTGATATTCACAGGGGAGGCTGAGCAGTCATAACTAGAGCTCGTGAGCTAGGTCCAGATAAACCAGCCTGAAACCGCGCTCAGACTAAGGGATCTGGACTCAGTAAATAAACCCGAATTTATGTTTGCATTTTGTTCTTCTAAATTTCTTTTGCTTTTTTCTAAATTTCCTGATAATTTTTTTCTTTGGAAAATTGCAAAATCCTGAGGGTGGGGTCACAGTGTCTTCAGATGAAGGTATTTGCCTAAGTTCCCACAGTGGGGCTGGAATTGGATCACAGACCTGTCTGCTTTCCCAGGCCAAGTGAGTAGCAATTATAATAACTTCTACCTATGACTGGGAGAGCCTGGTGGAGCTGGGTGGCTGCCACCCCAAGTTATTACAATTACTACTCAGTTGGCATGGGACTGAATAGTAATTGTAATAACTGATTACATGAGTAATTATGTAATTACTGAGTAGTAATCGTAATAACTAATTACTAATTGTAATAACTAATACAGTATATGACTCTCCCATTCCTAGGTGGAAGTTATTACAATTACTACTCAGTTGGCCTGGGACTGAATAGTAATTGTAATAGCAGGTAGTTGACTGCTGCCCTCTGCCATTCCCTCCCTGCAGATAGAACCTCACTGTTGCTTAAGTACTGTATTCCTCCACACTTCAGACACAGCCGCTTCTATAGCCCACACTAGAGGGTACGTCACGTTTGGGGTAAATAGGCCATGATAATTCAGTTTCCTGTTTGGTGAATGGCTTAGTAAGAGGCATGTGGCCCCACTCTGGCCAATGGGAAGTGATGATAAGTCTGTTGAGGGGGTTTCTGGGAAGGTTACTTCGACTCCCTAGAGAGGCATGCCCACTCCCTCTTCTCACTCTGAACTCTGTCTTGCCTGGTGTGATGCCTAGGGCTGCAGTCATCTTGAAATCATAGCGGGGGCAGCTGACATTCAGAGGACGGCAGAGCAGAAGGCTGGGAATCACTGACTTAACCAACCTTGGAGCTGCCCTACTCAGGACTTCTTGCTATGTGTGATAATTAATGTGTTTATTGCTGAAATCTGTTTTCACAACAAAAAGCTTCCTAACAGACACAAGTAGTTTGATGGAAAGTATAAAGTATATGGAGACAAGAAAGCCTGGATTTGCCTCCTGTTAGCTGAGTGGCATTTGGAAAGTAGCTTTCACTCTGGTGGCCTCAGTTTTCTCGCCTGTAACATGGAAATAATGCCTACCTCACAGGGTTCTTGGGTGGGTTAAGTCATGTTATGACTGCTATTCTGGATAAGATCTTATCTGACACTGGGTTCTTTGTGGCCTGGGCTCCTCGGAGATCCCGATGCCCTTAGCTGAAGCAGTCGTTTCTTTGTTTTTCTTTCTTTTTTCTGTTTTTGAGATAGAGTCTCGTCCTGTCGCCCAGTGGCATGACGTCGCCTCATTGCAACCTCTGCCTCCCAGGTTCAAGTGATTCTTGTGTCTCAGCCTCCTGAGTAGCTGAGATTACAGGCACGTTCCACCACACCTGGCTAATTTTTGTATTTTCAGTAGCGTTGGGGTTTCCCCATGTTGGCCAGGCTGGTCTTGAACTCCTGACCTCAGGTGATCCACCCACCTCGGCCTCCCAAAGTCATAGGCATGAGCTGGGGTTACAGGCGTGAGCTGCTGTGCCCAGCCTGAAGCAGTCATTTCATTGCCAGCACCTTGGTAACCATAAAGCAACTGCTATTTGCTAGTACCTGACATTTGAGATGTTGTACTAGTAATTGATGAGGTGTCACTCTCCCCATGTTATCATGAGGAAACTGGGTTTCAGGAGGGTTAAGTGACTTTCCCATGAAAGCCAGTTTGGGGCATGCACTTCAGCTGTATTTACCAGCGCCCTTTCCATGCTGCGGTGCCGCCTCCCAAAGGGGAGGGGCAGTGCTTCTTTGGGGCTGGGCTCCTGTTGTGTATAGCCATGAGTGGCTCTGGGGCGGGGCTTAAGGCTCCTTGCAGGTGAGGGTGGTGCTCCTGGACCTCTGGGTTCCTCATAGGGCCTTGCCTTGATCAGTTAAACAGGTGGAGGCGCTTATGGCTCAGGCCGTGCATCAGAATAGGAGGCAAGAAGAAGCGTGGGGGCCCCAGGGGCTCATTTCTGGAGGCCAAAAGGTGCCTAAGTGTGGCCCTGAGGCCTCGGATGGGACCAGCTTCTAGATGCCATCTCAGCTCAGTCTCCACATGAGAGCAGGTGGCTCTGCCCGGAGCTGTCCCAGGAGGCCTTGATGGGAGGATTAATGACAGGAAAAGTAGGGCAGGCAGGTTGGTAAATATTGAATTGCTCAGAGCTTAAGGGGAGAGGGGCCCTGCTGGAGGGGAGAGGGAGGGAGAGCCAGGAGATTAAGCTGAGCTGGGAGCTGGTCCAGTCACCGGGCACTGGGCAACACGGCGGCTTGTCCGCCACCACTACCAGCCCAAGTCACTTCTTTTCAATGTGTCAAACCCTTCCAGTGCCTTTGACCGAATTGTTTAGGTGGGACCTAGACTCTGGGACTCCATATCCCTTGAAAACACTAAGGGTGGACGGGGAGGAAGCCATCATGGCAAGGGTGTGTCTGGCTTCTGTGCCTGCTGTGTGCCAGTCGCTTGTCACACCTCTTCTTGTAACGGGGCACCTGGCCTGGAGTGCTCACCTATGAGACAAATAAATGATGGAGCTGGGACCAGGAGGGGAAGAAAGTGGCGGGCCTGCAGGCAGGAGCCCAGTGCTGTGTGCCGTTCACACATGCGCCTCCTGGACATGGTGTTCTATAGGAATGGTGGCCCCTGGGGTCCTGCAGCTCCAGGCCTGGGTGAAAGCCTGGTCCCTCTGGCCTGTTTCTTCCTGGGCTGACTTCATCCCAGCCTCCCCTTTCCCCTGACCTTACTGTATCACTCTGTCCTTGAGTCTGGCCCCCTGCCTCTGGCTTTCCTCCAGTCCTGCCCCATGAGGGAGGGCTTTGAGATCACCGAGCTCCAAATGGAGACATACCCTCATCCCTAGCTTGACAGTCCAGGGCCGGGACCATGCTGTGGCCTCTGTGGGTGACTGTGAAGTCCCCAACCCAGGATGTGCTGAGCCATGCTCCTGCTCCCCCAGCCCCCACATCTGTATCCAGAGGAAAGCAGGCTGAACCTTGCAGGGGAGCCAGTGCCACAGAAAGAATGCTCTTGGGGTGGGAGGAGAGGGTTCCTCCGGCCTCTGACTCAATGCTGCAGAGAGCAGGTGTGTGTAGGGGGGTGCGGGGAGGTTCACAGTTGCTTCCCTGCTCATGCATGAATCCCAGAGCATTTCCCCAGAGTCCTCAAGGCCACCCTCCAGTGACTCGAAGGGCAGGAGAAAGGACAGTACCCTGCTCTCACCCGGCCTCCTGGGGTGAGGTCGGGGTGAGCAGGGGGCGGCAGGGCCAGCCGGTCCCGAGGAGAGGGCTGGACTCACCATCCTCCTTGGTCTGGATGTAGAGCACGCTGCTGCGCACGCCGTCCCCCGCCTGGGTGTAGGCCAGCACCTGGACGCTGTAGTTGGTGAACTTCTCCATGCCCCGCAGCTCCACCCGCTCCCGTGTGGTGGTGATGTTCTGCATCTCGCCCCACTCTGCCGGAGACCAGCAAACTCCGAGGGCCTGGCTCTGCCAGGCTGCGGCCCCAGCTGCCACCCCGGCTGCAAACTCTGCTCACACCTACGGCACTGGCTCCGCCCTCCACTCCATGGTGGTGAGGACTGGAGGGTCTTTCACCTCCAGGAACCCAGGAGCAGATGCGGACCACTGCCCCCAGGCCACGCCTCTCTATGGGGTCCAGTGAGGGCGAGCCACAGATGCTGGCCTGGCCCCGGCCTCAGTTGACCTTGCACCAGCTTCACCTTGCTACACTCCGTAAAACGCCTCTGTCTCCATCTCTCCAAATGACGTTTCTCCCTCCTGCCACCCAACTCCCTTCCTATGGGAGAGCCTGGAGTGGCTTGGACCTGGATGGAGGAGGTCCTGTTCAGGAGGGACAGCTCAGCAGCCACTCTTCCTGCTGCCCAGCCACCTTGGGCTTCCAGAACTTGCTGGGCCTTATCGACCCAGGGATGACGTGTGACAGGCTAAGGCTGCCTCCCCTGCCTCTGACCGCTCCTGGGCCAGCACCCTGGACTCTCAGTTGGGGTAAGGGACTGAGTGACCCGTCCGCCTTCTCCCCACCATTGGAGACACCCAGCCATTCCCTGCACAGAAAGCCTGAGTGAGGCTGATGGAGCCGACACCCTCAGCCAGGAAGGGCGGGGAGACTCCTCAGACTCAGGGAGGATGTAACATCCTGGCCCTGCAAGGACCTTCTCATAGACTCTAAAGAGGAGCTTAGGGAGAGGGTCCCTGGCGGCCAGAGGCGTAGAAGGAGGAAAAGGGACAGACTCCTGCTGGGCTTTCAGAAAGACAGGTCCAGCAACAGGCCGGGGACCAGTCTTGTAGAGATGAGTGCCTGGAGACCCCTTCCCAGCACCTCAGTGATGGTCCAGGACAGGCAAAAGGCCAAGGTGGAGGGCCTGGCCAGGGAAGGCAGCAGCTGCTGGGATCCAGAGGGCGAGAAGGCCATGCCCAGTGTGAGGAGACTCCAGGTGAGTGCAGGAGGATCCTCAGGGGCTGGAGCAATAGGGCCTTCCTCTCCTGGAGTCAGAAACCAGGCGGGCCTGTCCACGACTGGAGCCAGAGAGAGACTCAGGAAAAGGGCAGTGTGGCCAGGAGTCCAGCTGGTCTTTGGGGATTACTGAGGCCAATGCATTCTTTAGGGGCTGAGCTGGGGAAGCCCGTGGGCTTGGAAAAGAGGAAGTAAATTCTGGAAAACGGAACCACCCTTTACTTGGCTCCACACAGATATGAATGTAGTGAGGCTGCATTGTAAGCAGTGGGGCCTGGCACTGCACAGCAAAAGAACTAGGGAGGCTTCAGACAGCTCGCCCTGAGCTGTAGCGTCTGCTTTCTGTGGGAGAGAGGTGGGGCGGTGGTGGGGAAAGACTTCCTGCTGGCAGGTCTGGGCAGAGCAGAATCGGGATGGGAGAGGGGACTGTGAGTGCTGGACAAAGGACTGTGAGCTGGGTTCTAAGGTCCCCTAGGAAAGAAGAGAGGGCCCAGAGGGCTGGGAGGCAGGAAGTGCAGGAACCAGGTGGGAGGCAAACTCATTTTAGTCCTCTGTGGCCTACTGAGGTGACTAAGGCCTTCGGTGGAATATTTCCATAGTCTGGGATGCTGGTCCTCTGGCCTGTGTGAGCTATAAGCCTCCAGGTCACATGAAGGTCTGTGTAACCAGTGGGCAGGAGCTTGGTGTGCCTCTGGGATGCTACTCAAATGTATTGCCCATTCCAGGGCGAGGAGGCCATTCTAAAGTTTGGGCTGTCTTACTGGTTTTCCTCCATTTGCCATTCCTACCCCCCCAGCTCCACTGTGCACACCTCTCTGCCCTTCTCTGGGTCCTGGGCGGCTTGTCTGCACAGAACACATGCCTTGCTGTGTGCCTGGCTCCAGCTGGGTTTGGCCAAGGGAGGCTCTCCCTGGGTTCTGGTAGCCCTGCTTCCTCCCTTCCCCCTTGGCCTTAGGTGCTGATGGCTTCCAGCTGGTGCTGGTCCCAGGTGCTCACCCCCTCCTCAGTCCCTTCATTAAACTCATCGATCGCCCCATTTGAGTGTACTGACTGCTCCCCGCAGGACACTGACTCACACAGCCATAAAGGCCTAATATCAACACGTTAAATTAGGAAAGCCAGTATGCCCCTATCATGCCCCCGATACTTCCCCAAACACACACTGTTGTCTGGGAGTAGCTGGGGGACTCCTTTCTTCACCAGAGATGCCACCCTGTGTACCACCACCCCCTTGCCCCTGGCTCTGACCCCAGCTGAACATGGAGGTGTGCCAGTGAATCCTGAGCCTCTTCCTCACTATCCCCTGGCCCCATGGCCATTATTGCCCCTTATGGCCTCCCCATGTGGAGAAGAGGAGGCTGTCCTTCCTCTTTCCATGCCGTGGGAGGATACTCAGCTCTAACTACACTTGGAAGCAGACCCCACTGACTCTGCGCCTCTCCCGTGAGGCCCAGCCATCAGTTCCAACAGACTCACCCCCATCAACGTAGAGTGACCAGAAGATGACCCGATAGCCTTTGAGGACGCCATTGAGGGTGCTGCGTGGGGGCTCAGACCAAGAGATGACGGCCACGTCAGAAGTGATGGACAGGGCCCGGACGTTCTCGGGGGGCTGGCTGGGCACTGCAGGGGTGGGGGGAGAACCAAGGGTCCAGTCAGTCTTGTGTGTGAGTGGCAGCATGGCATATGTGTCCCAGGCCAGGCCCCGCAGTCCAACCGGAGGAGTGTCCAGTTAGATGAGTGGAGGGACCTCCTGCCTTGAGGATCTTTAGGGTTGGGGCAGGGAGGCCGGGAAGTGAACCGTCTCCTTGCCTGGAGATTGAGGCAGACAGAGATCTTTACAGACTGGTTCCTTGCTCTCCGAGTAGCACATTCCTGCTTCGGGCTAAATCTGGGGGAGGAAGGTGATGAACTCTGAGCCTGAGTCCCTGAAAATTCCCCAATGGGCTACCACAGCCCAGGGGGATCCTGCTTTGATGAATGTGACGGACATGGAAGGCCACCAAGCCAGCCCTGGAGGTGTCTGCAATGCATCATCTCATCTGACGGCTGCCAGCCCCTCTGTGTCATCTGACTGGGGGTCTGGGCCAAGGCCTGGTTCTAGGGACTCCTGTGTCCTTGTGCCAAACTAAAGGGAAGGCAAAGAAGGGAAGAGGACCTCAGCTAACCCTGGCATAGGAGAGAAGCTTCCACTGGGACCTTTGGGACCTCTGGGACCATTAAACCTTCGCCCTTGCCCTTGTACTCCAAAAGGCCTGGAGTGATGGGAAAACACTCTCTGGGACCAGCTTAGGTGTGCCACCCTCTCCCTCTGAGATCCACCTTTGAGTTTAAGCTGAGGCCCACCCTCCTGGGTGTGCTGCAGTGCAGCCTGCCCCTTCTGAGATGACAGGTCACAGGAACCCCACACCCCAGGATCCGCCTCAGCTCGGGGGAACTCTGGTGGCACTTCCTGCTGGCATCCGAGGGCCAGGGACAAAGCACAAGACGGAGTCTGCTTCGCTCCAGGTGGGAGAAAGGAGGCGCGGGCTGGCTGGAAGGTAATTAGATCCTGTTGCCCCACAAGAGGCAACTCTAATTTTTATGAGCATTTAAATGATAATACATCATCCTAACGATCCTCTTTGAGAATGATTATTGTTTCATATTACTTAGGTGTAAAAATATAAGCACCATGTAATTAGGGACCCAGTGTAATAAACTAATACAGATCGCCCGTTCGAACAAAATGAAGGTAATATAATTATGGAAAAGACACTATTGCTAAAGCAGGGGCCCTTGAATACCCCAGGAGGAGTGCTAATATTGCCAGGAAACATCAGGATCTGACAGGCTAACGAGGGCCTTAATTAAGTATGAAAAACTGCTGAGCAAATGCTGCTGGAAACTTTCTTCTCCCCTCTCCTCCTTTGTTTTCAAAATGACTCCATAGCCCATGCTGATCTCTCCCTGTTGGAAATTCCAGGGGCCCCCCACGAGGCAAGGGAGGTGGTGTTTTGACAGAGGCCAGAGGTGGGCCTGGCTTGCCTCTGCCCTGGTGTGGCTGGGGATGGGTGCGTGGTGGCTTAGTGTGAAGAGGGGAAGGCTGGCCTCCTCTCGGCTAGGCTGGGGGCAGCTGTTCCCCGGACACGCCTTCCTAACGCCTCCCGCGCCTGCATCACTTGTTCCTGCATCCAGTCTTGCTTCCAAGGAAAAGGGAGGCACAAGGGGAAGCTGGAAGGGTATGGGATTCAGGGATTTTCATCCAGACTCTTGTTATTTTCTGGATAGATGGTTCTGATGGGTTAACCTTCCTGAGCCTTGGCCTCCCCTCATGGATAATGGTGCAACTCTTGGTGGTATGATTCCCGAAGGTGCTCCCTGGACAAGCAGCATTGCCCGGGAACTTACTAGAAATAATACCTCCTTTATTATTTATTTATATATAAGAGATGGGGTCTTGCTGTATTGCCCAGGCTGGACTCCTGGCTTAGAAATGAACATTCTTATCCCCCATCTCAGACCTACTGAGACAGAAGCTGGGGGTTGCAGCCCAGCAACCTGTGTTTCCCAGACCTCCAGGAGGTTCTGCTTTGTGCTCAGGGCTGAGAACCACGTGTTAGGGCACTGTTTGAATGAACATTCCTGACACTGAGGAGACAAGCTGATCTTCCTCAATCCAGCCAGGCCAGCATCTCAGGGTGGGAGTCGTGGAGAGGGGTAGTGGGGTCCGTGGGTTGAGGGCTTGGTTGTGGTGCTGCTCTCCTTCTCTGCCATGTGCCTCTCTCCTTCTTTCGGTTCTCCCCTTTTCTCAGGTGCTTGGTGCTCTAGGGCTACTGAAGTTGGCCCCATCTCAAGGCCTGGCTTTTGCCCCACGATCATGAAATGAGAATCTCTGGGGTTGGAGCCTGGCATCAGTATTTTGAAAGTTCCCCAGATAATGCCAACTGGTAGCCAACGTTAGGAACCATTGGTAGGAGTGAATCTACTCTCAGGCGTTTCTGGTCTAATGCGTCCCTGTCCCCAGGGTGCTGCATTTTCAGAGGACGAGGGACGGGGAGGACATAGCTTGCTCTGAAGGAATGGCTCTCGAATGGTGAAATGCTTGGTCTCCTGATGGGAATGGGGCACTGGCATTCTGCTCTCTGAACTATTGGGGCAGGGTAGGCAGCTCAGACTCAGGGGGCTTTAGTCTCAGACCCTAGTTTTGGGATGGGGCATCAAGGAGGAGGCTTGAGAGAATGCTCTGCTTCTTTATTCTGCTCTTTAGGGGTCAGAGGTCATCCTGGCCCTTTTTCTGAGAGCATCAGGCGCCATGTCCTTTCTCTCAACCTCGTGCAGGTTCAGGTACCAGCTGGCATCTTTTCTGTGCTTGGAGAGCCGGCATGTTCCTGCTTCCTCCTAACCCTCCTCGTGGGGAGACTGGGCCCTTTGATGTACTAATCAGAGTGTGGGGTTCTCTCCAGTCACGGAAGAATGAGGACTTAAAAAACTGGGCTCTAAATCCTCTGCCGCAGGCATGTTAGGGTTTCTTAACTCCTCAGCCTTATCTCAGCTCTTAAAACAGATGGTGGGCAGGTTCCAGACTAGAACACAAAGGCAATTTGGCTCCTGCCCTCTTCCTGAGAAGTTGTAAAGGAGGAGAAATAGGACCCAGGGGTAGAGAAAAGAGAGAGGGGTTAGGGTGCCAGGAAGAAGGAGGAAGGCAGAGGGAGAAGTGTGGATGGGGAGACAGGTGGACCGACAGGTGCTCAGACAGGCCAACAGAGTGTCAGCCAAAAGGATGGAGAGGCCCGGTATGCTGCAGGGACCATGCGTCCCTCGAGGAGCCAATGGACACAAGGAGATGGTGGGGATGCAGGGAGCCTGTGTGGACCATAGGACCAAGATGGAGCCCAGGGGAAAGTGGAGGGACCCACAAGCCCTTTCTGGCAGCCCTGGCTCTGCCCTTGGGATCTGTGGGATCTGTGCCCACTCCCCTCTGCTGGGGCCCTCACCATCCTCCAGAGTTGTGGCATTGATCTCGCTGGATGAGGGCCCCGTGCCAGCCCGATTGAAGGCCTGGACCACCACACCATACTGGGCGAACTTCTTGAGGTTGTCCAGGGTGTAGACCTCACTGTCCCCCGTGGCCTTCATCTCCACGATGCTGTACTGCCCGTTGCTGCCGGGGCTGTTCTCTCTGTAGCCGATCTGGTAGCCCCGGATGACACCATTCTGCAGCTCCTTCTTGGGTGCCTGTGGGCATGGGGAAGGGGCAGGGACAAAGACACAGCGACACTCTGAGATGATGCTTAAAACCAAAGTCAGATCATGTCGCCTCTGCCCCCAGCCCTTAGAAGGCTCCAGTCTCATTCAGAGTGAAAGTCAAAGTCCTCACGATTGCTACACGGCCCTGTGTGACCTGACCTCCCATTACTTCTCGGATCCTCTCCTGTGCCCCTCGCTTCCTGCCCCCCCCAGCACTCTGGGGTCTTTAACCACAACCTCATCTCAGAGGAAACGCTCCTTTGAAAGTGCTCACGCTCCCTTCTGCCGCATCCTGGCAGAAATGCCTCTTCTGAACGCGGCCTTCCTTAGCTCTTTATGTAAGACCGCTCCCTGCCTCTCTCTGGCACTCCTAAGTTTTCTTCCCGGTTTATTTTCCTCCACAGCACTTAGCATCATCTGACAGTCTATAAATTTCACTTATGCATTTGCCTGTCTGCCTGCATTAGAACGGAGGCACCGTGAGGACGAGGAGGAAGGAGCCTGCTTCGTTTCTGTCGCACTGTTCGTGTCTAGAATGGTGCCTGGCACACAATGGGCCCTCAATACATATTGAACAAATGAATGAATGAATAAATGACTAGGGATATCATTTGGCCTGGGTTCAGGGACCTAGGAAAAACGGAACAGCAGACAAAAAGTAATCGGAGAGGGAGGTGAGCAATTAGTTTGAATGAAAAGAAGGAGCCCCAAGATACCACTTCACATCCATTAGGACGGCTTTTATAACAATAATGGAAAGTAAGTGGTAGTGAGGATGGAGAAACGGGAACCGTGTACATTGTTGGTGGGAGTGGAAAGACGTGCAGCTACCGTGGAAAAGAGTTTGGCAGTTCCTCAAAAGGCTGAGCAGAATTACCATACCATCCAGCAATTCCATTCCTAAGGTTTATGCCCAAAATAATTGAAAACAGGGATTCACAGAGATACTCATACACCCATGTTCATAGCAGCATTATTCAGAATAGCCAGAAGGTGGAAGCAACTCAAGTGTCCACCAGGAGATGAGTGGAGAAGCAGAATGCGATACAGCAATACGATGGAATAGTATGCAGCCACGAAAGGGAGAAAACTCTGTCATCCATCACACCATGGATGAACCTTGATTGAGACTTAGGCCAGACACAAAAGGACAAAAACTGTTGTCTGAGTCCACTTATGAGGTACCTAGAATAGTCAAAATCAGAGAGAAGAAAATAGAGGGGCCGGGCGTGGTGGCTGATACCTGCAATCCCAGCAGTTTGGCAGGCTGAGGTTGGTGGATCACTTGAGGTCAGGAGTTTGAGACCAGCCTGGCCAACATGGAGAAACCTTGTCTCTACCAAAAATACAAAAAATTAGCTGGGTATGGTGGCACACGCCTGTAGTTCCAGCTACTCAGGAGGCTGAGGCAGGAGAACTGCTTGAGCTTGGGAGGTGGAGGTTGCAGTGAGCTGAAATAGACAGGGTGAGACTCTGTCTAAAAAAAAAAGATGTTGGGGAATAGAGTTTTCATGGGGAGTTCATGTTCCACGGGTACAGAATCTCAGTGTGAGAGGATGAAAAGGTTCTGGAGGTGGCTAGTGGTGATGGTGGCACCTCGTCGTGAATGTGCTCACTGCTATTGAGCTGCACACTAGAACACGGTTAAAATGGTAAATTTTAAGTTATATGTATTTCATTAAAACTAAAAAAAAAAATTTGGGAGGCTGAGGCAGGCAGATCATGAGGTCAGGAGATCGAGACCATCCTGGCTAACATGGTGAAACCCTGTCTCTACTAAAAATACAAAAAATTAGCCAGGCGTGGTGGCACATGCCTGTAATCCCAGCTATTCGGGAGGCTGAGGCAGGAGAATTGCTTGAACCTCTCACCCCAGGTTCGAACCCTGATACACACGCAGCCAGATGCCAGCACACAGGGAGGTGGAGGTTGAAGTGAGCCGAGATCATGCCACTGCACTCCAGCCTGGGCAACAGAACAAGACTTCGTCTCCAAAAAAAAAAAAAAACCTAAAGAAAAAAAGATCCCTGACTTTCACCTGGATGGGTGTGGCCCTTCTGGGAATGCTAAGGCTGCATTGCCCCAGACACCATGACCAGGGACTGGGGAGTGGTAAGGGCTGAGGCCCGAATGAGCCCTGGATGGAGGCACAGAGACGGCAGGGACTTGGAAGTTAAAAGGGGCTGGTGGGAATGAAGACTGGCCCCAGTCAGCCAGGCGAATGGAGAAACTCCACTGGCCTCAGTCTGGGGCTGGAAAACCCTCTCACCCCAGGTTCGAACCCTGATACACACGCAGCCAGATGCCAGCACACACACACACACACACACACACACACACACACACACACAGACATCCCAGTATATCCATTCACACCCAGAACCAAGAACACATATCCAGACCCATCAAAGCAAACACCTTAATCCACACCTCCACTTCCTACCAGATACATTTAGGTCCACACATAGAAAGCGGCTCCTTTAATGCCAGGCCTGCCCATCTATAAACTGAGATGGAACACCTACCCCAGTGCATTTAAAAACAGCTTGAATTAGGGTTTTAAAGACAATGAAGTTAATTTAAAAGCCCACCTTTTATTGTACTAAAATAGTGAGATCAAAGACAATTAAGTTAGTAAACAGCCCCACTGCTTTTCTAGTCAATGAATGTTTTAAATGAACTGCATTTTTAAGCTCACTGTTAACTCAATAAAATGAAGTTTTTAATTTAACATAATTGTTCTGAACTCACTAAATAGGTGTGTGTGTGTGTGTGTGTGTGTAATTGACTTGACTTTTTGTTGCTGCTTGTATGTTTCTCTCTGCACTTGGGTGGTCCTGCTTGCTGGTCTGTAAGTGGACACATTTTAATATTTGGGTCTTGTATCTACACGTATATGTCTTTGCACACACACACACACACACACACACACACACACACACCATTACAGATATAAATGTGTCTTCGAGAGCCTGAGACTTTCTTCTTCACACTGACACCTATTCTCAGGTTTCATGTACGTATATCTATACTGACACACACTGAATATCATTATACTATGCCACAGATGCCTACATGCCCAGAGCTATGTATACCATGATATACATTTGGCACAAAATCAAATCTACTTCCAACCACGTCAACATATACTGACAGGCCTCAGACGGGCACACAGGCATGCCCCAATCCATCCATCCAGATAGATTCACATATTTATACAGACCTTCATAGATCCTTCCTTCCTCCTTCCTCTCTCTTTTCTCTGTCTCCCTCTCTTTCTCCTCCTCTGTCCCCCTCCGTAAACAGCCACACTCAAGATTTAAATCAATCTTAACAATATTTCTCTGAAGCATTAAGAAATCGATAGGACTGATTGCAAATTTATGTCATAAAGCAGGGGTGATCCATCTCGCAGAAAGAGTCTTAAAATGAAGTGACTTATCTTCAAGTGAATCTTTATTTTTCATTAATCTGTTTCTCAATGTTAAAAAAAAATCCCCTGAGAAGTCAGCCCAAAATTTATTGACCAGCTGGTTCATTCTGAAGTTCTAACTTTCTAATCAATTTTATTTTTCATTATGAGACTTTGGAGAAATAAATCTGATTCTAAATTTTTATCGACCTCTGGGTCAGAGCTTTGTAGCCCGACGTCTCAGTATTTTACATATTTATTCATCCCTGCTCCCACCTCCTGGCTAGGATACAGGTCCATAGTGAGGACGCAGCCAAGAGTTTGGGATTGGAAGCTGGGCCTCACCCCAATTTCTGAGGAGAGCCCTGGAACCCAGAGCTGTATCAGGAGAGGAAGGCTGGCTCCAGGTATCCACCAGGCAGGCCGCCCCCAGGAAGGATCAACTGCCCAGCCCCACCTCACTTTGCTCTCAGTCATGCCTCTGGGAGGAAGGAACCAGGCTGCCGCTATGTGTGTGAGTGTGCGTGCACATGGTCTTACAAAAAATAACACTAGGTCCTTCTGAATCTCTCTCATTCTCAAGTCTACCTTTCTAAAGAGCCCAGAAGAGGGACCCAAGCATGTGGGCTTTTCCAATCAGGAGAGTCAGTCACCTTGGACAATTGGTCCCTGATGGAGACGGGCAGCCCCCAAACCCCACTGTTGAGAAGGGAAAGCTCCAGGAAGAACACAGATGGCCCTGAGAATGTTCTCTGATCCAGAGCCCTGTGCAGTGGCTGTGGAGGGAAGACTGGCTGGGGCAGCAGGCTCTGTGTTAAGTCTGAGCCCCGTCTCTGCTAGGCAAGCCACCTCACTTCTTGTCTCCATGGCTTCCTCTGGTAAAAGGGGATAAAAGTGCTTCTGTGGCTGCTTCCCAGGAATGAGGAGAGGGTCACATAAGTTGGTAAAGAGAAAGCACTTGGAGACTGGAGGATGCAGTGAGACAGGAAGCCCCAGGATTGCCGGCCCTTTGGTACCCAAGGAGGGGTTTGGTGGTAGGGCCAGAGCTGCCCAGGGAAGCATTTCTGGGTCCTGCTCAAGGTCGTTCTGTTCTGATTCCCTGCCCAGCTGTGGAATCTCCCCAAAGATCTTCCTTAAGTAGCAGATGCTTCAGTCACCCCCTATAGTTTACAGGTCAGGTCTTTGTCCTTAGGAATGGCTATAGCACATACTGGTCTTTTTTCTCCGCAGTTCCTCCACCCTCAGAGGTAGGGAGGGCAGTTATTTTCATCTGATGTTAGAGAGAGGAATTTGACACATAATCAAATCTACTTCCAATCTTATTAAAACACGTGGGGTTTGGAGGACGGGCCAGCATGGTGGAGGAACCATTCTCCCCCCTTGGCACTGCCAGTTTTTCATCTCACCCCAGGCAGAACCTCCATCAGGGAACCAGGGAGGAGAGGCGAGTGGGGATTACTGGGTGGGGGTGTGGGGGATCTGCCATTTGCCTCCTTCTCTATCCACCCCTCAAATCTTGCTAGGTTTAGTGATAAAACAGACATGGGCATCATATAAGACCAGAGACTAGCAAGGCTGCTGGGAGCTTCTGTCCTGGATTGAGGAGAGAGGGGGTAAGGATGTATTCCAGGGGACATGCCTTAGACACACCTACCTTCCAGGTCACCTGGATGCTCTGTGAGGTCACTGGCTGCAAGGTAACATCCATGGGTGGCCCATCAGGAGCTGAGCAGGGTGTCGGGAGAAAAGACATTACAAGTCAAGGCTTGGAAGAGGAAGGAGTTTATGTTCCCACTCCCATCCTCCTGAGCTGGAGGGCTCCTGGGCAGAAGACAAAGCTCAGATGCAGACAGCAGAGAACTTTGGTTTGAGTTCCCCTGAGAGTATTATAGGTTTTCAATTTCCTCTTCATTGTCCATAATTTGCTGAAAATGTAGCAAACAATGATAAAACCTAGTTCTGTCCATCCAGTAGGATGGCAAAAGTTTTTAAAAGTTGAAGAGTATGAAGTATCTACTTCATACAAGAATGTCTAGTGGCAGGAACTCTTATCCTCTGATTATGGGAGAGAAAATTGCTATGATACTGTAGAAAATGTTCTAGATGACTCTAATTCTACAACTGCTTCTATCCTCTAGAGAAGCTCATGAACTTGTACACTAGCATACAAGAATGCTTATAGAAGTATTTTTGTAATAGCTCCAAGCTACAAACAACCTAAATGCCCATCGACAGTAGAATGGACAAATCCACTGTGGTATAGTCATGTAATGGAATACTATACAGCACAGAAAAAGCATAAACTATATAGCCTTGCTAATGACATGAATGAATGAAGCTTGCAAAAGTAATATTGATCAAAACAAGCAAGACAGAAGAATATATGAAGTATGGCATCATCAATACATTCTACTGGAAAACAGGCAAGTTTATTGCATATACACATTGTGGTGACAATACAAAAAAGAAAAACATGAAAATTAGTATCACCAAAGTCAGGATGCTGATTACTTCAAGGCGAGGGGTGGCGTTATGACCAGAAAGGAGTACATGGGGGACCTCTCGCATGCTGGCTAATTGATAATGGATGCTGGTTATACTCATTGTTTACCTTATGCTTGCTTATAAAACTGCACATAAATATGTGTATTTTTCTTCATTTTTTTTTGAGACAGAATCTTGCTCTGTTGCTAGGCTGGAGTGCAGTGGTGCGATCTCAGCTCACTGCAACCTCCGCCTCCCAGGTTCGAGCCGTTCTCCTGCCTCAGCCTCCTGAGTGGCTGGGACTACAGGCATGCAGCACCGCGCCTGGCAAACTTTTGCATTTTTAGTAGAGACGGGGTTTTGTCATGTTGGCCAGGCTGGTCTTGCACTCCTGACCTCAGATGATCCATCTGCCTCAGCCTCCTAGATTGCCTGGATTACAGGCATAAGCCTCTGTTTCCGGCCTTTTCTGCATTATTTTATATTACATGATAACAAAAGAAAATAGCAAGAGAAATCTTGTTTAAACTTTCAAGAAAATTCCATGATGAGGGTCACAGAAAATGATCCAAGCCCTAGTACCCCATCTTTTGCAGATAGGTCTTTCCAGATGCTGAGGAGAGGGGAGCGGGGCAGAACCACAGAGAGCTCCCCCAAACCCAGTATCTGGAGCCCCACCTGGAAAAGGGCCAAACGGAAGAGCCTTCAAAGATCCAGAGGCGGACACAAATATCTGTTAGGAAGCTTTTCCCCACCCCACCCCCTCTAACTGCAAGCTCATTGCCAATGAACAGGATTGATGTGGGCCCCTGGTGTCCCTGACCCCTGAGGCCAGGGGCAGGGCAGGGGAGGCTGGGCGAGGCGCTCACCGGCCTCCTCGGTGCTGACGGTGAGCTCCTTGCTTGGCTCACTGCGGCCAATCTTGTTGAAGGAGTACATGCGGATGCTGTACACGGATGCTGGGTGCAAGTCCACGATGTTGGCCTGGTTGATGGTGGGGGAGATGTTACGTGTGGACTGCTTGAAGTCCCAGGAATCTGGAGAGAAGACAACTATGTCAAAGCACAGCCAGGCAAACTCCAGGACCCCGTCCCCGCCTGAAACACCAGCAAAGCCCAGTCTTAAGTTGGATGCCCCAAGGGGTCCAGCTCACACAGACTGCAGAGAGAGAGCACAGGCTTGAACAACTTTATGGAGGTGCAAAGCGTCTGTCCCATGCAGCTCCAGCTTGGGAGAAGCCTGACTCTTCTCTGCCACTGGCCAGCTTGTGAGCTCAAACTTCAGGCAGAGGTCAGATGAGATGTTCCCCAAGGTCCCTGCCAAGGTCACCATCTGCTTACTCTCCCTGAGGGTCTGACCGGCCAGTGTCCTTCTTCCTGGGTCTCTCCTCATTTCAGTGACCTGGTCTAATGGTGGGACACCCCATCTACCCAGTAGACCCCATGCCAAGTGGGAGGCTAAGTCTCCTCTCCCTTTTTCCTCCTCTTGTGTGTGCTTCTGTATTTCTCTTTCTTGTGCACTTGTGAGGTGATGAATTTGAGTGTTGTTTTCTTTTTTGAGACGGAATCTTGCTCTTTCACCAGGCTGGAGTGCAGTGACATGATCTTGGCTCACTGCAACTCATCTCCCGGATTCGAGTGATTCCCCTGCCTCAGCCTCTTGAGTAGCTGGGACTGAAGGTGCATACCACATGCTCGGCTAATTTTTTTGTATTTTAGTAGAGACGGGGTTTCACCATGACCAGGATGGTCTCGATCTCCTGACCTCATGATCTGCCCGCCTTGGCCTCCCAAAGTGCTGGGATTGTAGGTGTGAGCCACCGCGCCCAGCCAAACTTGAGTGTTATATGTCAGGTTTGAGGGGGACAGACCCCCTACCCTCTTTCCTTCACCAGCAGGGGGACAGTTTCTGAGTCATTAGGGTTAGAGATCACCAAAGAGATGATCATGTCCATGATTTATCCAGGGAGACTGGCAGTCCATCTCAGGGCTGGCTGACGTTTAGCAAAATTGTGGGAGGTGGAAAATACCAGATAAATGCCATTGGGGCGTCACTAAACAGTGCCTATGCCCATACTGTGACTAGGAACACCCTGCGTCTCCAGAGGAATCCAGTCATCTGTTCAACATACTTTTGCTGCGCACCTACTAGGGGACTCCAGGGGAAATGGGAAGGGGTTGCAGTTAACAAAGCCTCAGCCTATAATTCCAGCACTTTGGGAGGCCAAGGTGGGCCGATCACCTGAGGTCTGGAGTTCAAGACCAGCTGGCCAACATGGTGAAAACTGTCTCTACTAAAAATACAAAAATTAGCCAGGCACGGTGGCGCGTCTGTAGTCCCAGCTACTCCGGAGGCTGAGGCAGGAGAATCGCTTGAACCTGGGAGGTGGAGGTTGCAGTGAGCTGAGATTGCACCACTGCACTGCAATCCAGGCCAGAGAGTAGAACTCCATCTCCAAAAAAAAAAAAAAAAGCCTTTGCTAGAACCTTCCACACCCCAGATTCTTAACCAAATAACTGTTTTGGCACCTTACTTCGAAAAGAAAAAAAGGCAAAACACAAGGAAACAAGCGGACAGCAGGGCTGAAAAAATGTTCCCAGGGCAAGTCTGGGAGACGTGATTCCAGGTAATTTTCTGTGCCTTTAAATCCACAGTACAGTATCATGACAAAGTCTCCGCAGAAGAGGTTAGCTTATATTCACCATAGTTTAAATCCTAAATCAGGAAAGGAGGCTAGCACATTCTAGAAAGATTAAAAAAATTTTTTTTGGTTAAAACTAATGCTTGATAGGCGAGGCACAGTGGCTCATGCCTGTAATCCCAGCACTTTGGGAGGCCGAGGTGGGTGGGTCATTTGAGGTCAGGAGTTTTTGAGACCACCCGGGCCAATATGGTGAACCCTGTCTACTAAAAATACAAAAATTAGCTAGGCGTGGTGGTGGGTGCCTGTAGTCACAGCTACTCAGGAGGCTGAGACAGGAGAATTGCTTGAATCCCGGGGAGGCGGAGATTGCAGTGAGCCAAGATTGCGCCACTGCACTCTAGCCTGGGCGACAGAGCGAGACTCTGTCTCAAAAATGAAAAACAAACAAACAAACAAACCCCCAAAACTCTAATGTCTGATAAATCAGGAGAACTGGTTCACCACAAAGCACTGTCCCAGGCTCCCAATTTCTGGTTAGTTGAGATCTTGACGTTTGCAAAACACTACTTATAGCTGCTCAGGCTTAGCATCTGGGAGGGGCACTGGCCCAGCTTCCCATCTGTAGTTTTGCATTTACTTCTTTGGTCTCACGAGCCAAAGGAACAAAATGGCAGGCTTCTGGTGCTCAAAACCACATTATTTTCTCCTTGTATTTTAAAACACCCTAAGCATGGGAGGATCACTTTGCGGCTGGCAGGGTAAGTTGGAATTGCAAATATGCAGGTTCCTACCTGCTGTGGGCACTCGTTTGTGGGTTTGGGACAGAACAGGCTAGTAATGTGGGGGCAGGTGCTCCCTTCTCTCTGTGACATCCTAGGAGCCGGCGCCAGCTCGAAAGTCATATCTGATGTGTCCATGTTTATAGGAGAGGGAGAGGGAGCGCAAGTCAGTGCATTCATTTTTGATGAGTGCAGGCAGAGGGAGGAGACTCGGTCGGTGTGTCTGGAGAAGAGGCACTAATATTTACCAAGCGCCTGCGGTGTGCCAGGTGCAGCACTGGGCAATTTAAACTCTCACCATTTACTCCTCACATCTTCCTGCGACATTAGCGCTGCATCTCTACAGCAGAGGTCACCTTCACGGCACCAAACTCAATTTCCCATCTGACTTCTTGGGTGTGTCCAACACTTGGCCCTCTCTTCCTTCTTCAGGAAACACTCTCCCCTCGGCTCCCTAATTAGACACTCTCTGGCTTTTTGCTTATCTCTTGGGTCAGTTTCTCTCTGTCTCCGTGCAGGTGATTCCTCCTCTACTCTACCAGGAATGGCTCGACTTCTTCAAGGCTCCACCGAGGCTTCCTTCTCTCTTGCCATGCGCTTTCCCCAACCACGCATTCTATTTTCATCTATGCACTGATATCTCCCAGATTAATATCCAGCCTGGGCCTCTCCTTCCAACTCCAGACCTTATAGCTAACTTTTTAGTTGATGGCTCATCTTGGATATTTCACAGATACGTCAAACTCAACCTGTGCAAGGCAGAACTCTCGACCATACACCGTGTTTACCCAGCAACTTCCTGAGTTCCATCTCGGATGGCACCACCATGATCAATTTCTTGACTCTTCCTTCTCTCCCCTCCCTGTCAAGTGTGATAGCTTTTATGTTCTGTGTCATTCTTGAATCCCCCCACTTCCCTCCATCTGCATCCCTACCTCAGGCCCAGCCACTGTCATCCCTACTTAAACCAGGGAAATGTCCTCTTCCCTAGCCCTCTGCATGCTCAGCATGCCCTGTTTCTTTCATCGGTTCTCCACACTGCAGCCATCCTCCACTCTACAAATACAATTGAGCCCCTCTTACAGGTGAGCATTCCTTCTTGGCCCTGAGAGTGGTCTTCTCAAAACACAAATCTGATACTGCCGTTCCCTTGCATAAAATTTTTCAATAGTTCTTCCTTGCTTTTGGGATAAAGGTAAAATTTCACAACCTGACCCAGGCCCTGCAACAAGAATTGCTTGAACCCAGGAGGTGGAGGTCGCAGTAAGCCAAGTTTGCACAACGTGTTTTTGAGCACCAACAGCCTGACATTTTGTTCCTTTGGCTCCTGCTCCCCTCCCCAGCCTTATCTTTCTCCATTCTTTTCCTCTGAACTCTTGCAGCATTTAGAGGCCCCCCGCCGCCTCAGTCCACAGTATTTTCTCTCAAGGGTTCGCTGTTCAGTGGTAACTGCCCAAAAGTAGATGCCAAACTCCCTGAAGTCAGCATCCCTGTCTGAAACTCTGGTCCTTTTTCCCCAATTTCATGTGTGTTGGGCGCTTAAAATGTGCTGTTGATTTTACACCAGAGCCACTGTTTTTCCCCTTTACTTGGGACTTGGAGTTCCTCTGCACTCTGTGGCCACAATGTACTCTCTGCCGATCCCTTCCTTGCCTCACTCAGCTGCAAATCACAGGAAGGTTGGGTTGGGGCGTGTCTCAGAGAACAATTCCTTCTTTTCTCCTGCTTTTAGTTTGCAGGTGGATTTGACCTTGTGTTCCCAAATCATCTTTGGTGTTAGCACAAAATAGCTCTCTCTCCGCAACCTTTCCAGGCTAATGGATCAGAGTCAAATCTGGAAGCCTCTAGCTGATTTTCTAAACCTGATCACTGCCGTCTCCCTGACCCTGAATAGCTGAGATCAGGGGCCCTATTTTCCTCCTTTTCCTTTTCAGTTCTCAGAGTACTGAGCTGGCTTTCGTGAATGTTGTCTCTTTTAATATTCCCTTTCATGTGAGCCTGGCTTGCCCAGATTAACATATTTCATTAAGGGCTCTCTCTCCCTTTCTTCATCAAAGGGTTTATGATGCAAAATATTCTTCTCAAAAATAAGGAAGCGGCTGGGGAGATGTCAGTGCCTTCTGCTCTGTGGGCTGCTTGCTGAGAGGGGACTGGAAATCTCTGCTTTTTCAAGAGATACATTCACCATAGAGGGGATGCAGCTTGGAGAAAAGCCACATCTGGAGCATTTAGCTGCCTGGGCTCAGGAAGCAAATCCATTCTGCATCTCTAATTTTCTCCTTGGATCACGCCTTTGAGACCCCCATGGCAACCTCTTCCCAGCATGGAGAAGAGGCTCCCTGCATCACGACAGCTCACAACATCCCAACACCAGTCCCTCTGACAGCCACACTCCAGTTCCCACAGAACACCATGCCACACCAGGCCAGCTCACACCATGGTGGCAGGCACAGCCCCTGCACTATGAGGCTGGTGTAGGGGAGGGCCATCTTCAAAGAACCCACCTGTGCTCAGTGCTTGGTGAACACGGGCGAAATGTGGTGTCTGCATTTTTAAATCTGCACAGTGCCATCTGATAGATTTGTGTGGATGGTGCTATTTATCATTCGGCATTCATGTATTATTACTCTGCTGCCTGGGGCCAGGAGAAGTCAGCATGAGTGGGATGGCTTAGAAAGGGCAGACTCGGTAATTTCCCTTGGAAAATTAGCATGATGAGCAACATGGCAGAAATCCTGGCAAAGGCATGGTTGGGGCAAAGAATGTCAGAAGCCCAGGGTAAGGACCCAGGATGGGTGTGGCCTGGGGAAGGGAGGAGGGGAGAGGGAAAGCAGAGACTCAAGACAGGAATCTGTGGGAGGGCACCATGTGCCCGGCTGGGTGCTAGGTACCTCCATGTATGTCATCACACCCCCCAATCCTCACGGCCTCCCTGGGTTGTGCCTTCCTGCCTCCATCTTATAGATAAGGAGATGCCTAAAGATGCTAAGTAGTCGCTAAAGATCACACAGCTCTGACACTTGGTCAGCCCAAGACATCAGCTTTGCCAATGGTTCTCATTCCACTATTGCACAGGTGCAGGAAGCTGCCCTTAGACACACCACACACAGTTATGCACACCCCCTCCTTCCTTTGAGTCATCCTCTGTTCCCTTGGATACCTTTTTCCATTCTCACATAATACAGTTTGTGGCATATTACACTTGATTGGATAGTTCTTTGTAATGGTTCTGAAAGTGTATGCGTGCATGCGTGTGTGTGTGTGTGTGTGTGTGTGTGTGTGTGTGTGTGTATGTTCTCACTCCAACTGCATTGTAAGCTCCAAGGGCACCATTCTGTCTGCTATTTCTTTTTCTTTTTCTACCACATGGCTGGTGCATGATTCTGCAAAAAAAATATTGGCACTCAGTACATGTGGTTGACTGACAGACACATATATTTCAGCCTGCAAGTCCCATAAGACTATAAATTGCTGCACGAGGTATTTGAGTTAGAGGAGACAGAGGAATTTACATTTATTAAAAGTTTACTCTAGCCCCGTGCTATAATAGATGCTTTCTCTCTATTCCTCTAAACAATCCCATGAGGTAGGCATCACCGCTCCTACGTCACTGACGGGGAAGCTGTGCAGTGCCCAGGGTCTCTGCCTGCCTCCAATGATAGCACACTGCAGTTCTCATGGCATGCCAGTTCCTAAATGCCAGGATGCAACAGATGCCCACCTGGGTGGGCTTTGCTGGAGCCAACCCACCCAAAGGTATGGAAAGAACTGGCTGCCTTCTCAGTGCTCTGGGTCCCGTGACTTTTTTCGTTAAGGGTGCAAAGCACCTTGTGGTAGGCAGAGTCTGAGGTTGAGCTTTCATTATCCCTCCCTCCACCCTCTCCACCCACCCTGGCATGCCCAGGTGGGGTGGTTGACTGAAGTTCCTCATCCTGCAGGGAGCCAGAAGGGGAAGACATGGATGTGGTCTAAGAATAGCTTCTTCCCTGCTACCTTGCCTTCTGCCTTGCTCTCCAGATGTGTGATGTTCTCCACGTCGTTCCTGCTGAGTGGTGCCCCAGGAGAGGCTTCCACACATTACAGAGTGGTCAGTGGAGTGGCAGTGGGCATCAGGGCAGCATGGGGGAAGGAGGAGGGGGGAGGGGAGCGAGTGACAGCCCAGGCATCCACCTCCCACCCCAGATGTGCACTGGCAGGGGAGGTGGTGTGTGCAATGTCATGTGGGGATGTCACCCTCCAGACCCAGCCCTTCCTGTTTACTCTTGGATGACCTGTGCCCAACCTCAGGGAGCCCTGAGATGTGACATGGACACAGTCAGCCCTTCTGTCCCCTCTGTCCCCTTTGCCTCATCACATTTCCCCAGCTGCAGGGCTGCAACAGCCTCCTTGCTTTTCTCCTGGATACCAATTTCTTCCACTCACATTCATTCTTCTAAGGCGCTGTGTTGCTCAAGTCTCCCCCTGGGAGCTCAGACGTTGTTAGTGGCTTCTCAATGACCCTCCCCAGCAAAATGAAAGCTCAGCCCAGAGGCCTCCCTTCCAACCTGGCCCCAAAGCACCTTTGTAGACTTACTGCCATGAATTGCATCTCTGAGCCCCTGTGCTAGCTCATAGGCTGCTTCCTGGAGTGCACTGCACCCTCCCTTGGTCTCTGTCCTGCACTTTCTCAAGATCTTGGCCTGTTGCCTTTCTGTATCCAAGACCCAGCTCAATGCAGCATCTACAGGGGACCAGGCAGATGCCTTCTCAGATAGCCCTTGTTGGCTGAAGCCCCTCCTTGGATCTGTGGCCCTCTGCACGCAGGTCGAACTCCTGGGTGGCTGACTGCAACTAGACCAGAAGCTTCTGAGAATAGGATTTGTCTCTGTCAACATGTGTATCAAAGATGACAGACCCAGGGTCCTGGACAGAGGGGTTTCTCAAGGTGGGGGACACAGCTTGGAGATTCGCTTTCATATGTCTCTCACTTCAACTCACTCGCCAACACTTGCTGAGCATCTACGGTATGGCTGGGTCCTGCGCCGGGTGCTGGAAATGCAAAGGGAACAGGACTTGGCCAATCACGAGGAGAGGGCAGCTGGCTGGCCAATGGCCACTGCCGTGCTAAGTGGGAGTGGAAGAGTCTGGAAGGCTTTAGGAGAAAATGAAATCTCCCATCTAAGCAAGGATCCATAAGAGGAGTTGAACTGGTGGGGGAAGGAGACTGAGGAAGATTGAATAATCCAGACTCTACATTTTCTGTGCTTTATTTGTAATTAATTTAATTTGTAATTATTTTGAGGAGTGAATACAGGCTTATGCTATCGAATTCAGAAGGTACAAAATATCCAGAGTGAGACGTCTGTTTTCTTCTGACCTCTGCTGTGAAGTCACCCATGTGCCCTCTATTCCCCTCTAAGGCCCCCTCCTTGCCATTCCTGCCACCCAACCATGGGACCCACAGCAGTCTCCCGGGATGCCAGGTGCCCATGGTGCCCCACAGTGCCTCATAGGGTGGGGCAGCCACACAGCAGCTCAAGTCAGAGGAGGGCTCCAGGAAGGGCTTCTTAGATCTATTTTTATTTTTTTGAGATGGAATCTCACTCTGCCACCCAGGTTGGAGTGCAGTAGTGCAATCTTGGCTCACTGCAAATTCCGCCTCCCAGGTTCAACAAATTCTTCCTGAGTAGCTGGGATTACAGGCATCTGCCACCAGGCCTGGCTAATTTTTGTATTTTTAGTAGAGACAGAGTTTCACCATGTTGACCAGGCTGGTCTTGAACTCCTGACCTCAGGTGATCCGCCTGCTTTGGCCTCTCAAAGTGTTGAGATTACAGACGTGAGCCACCACACCCAGCCGGGAAGGGCTTTTAGAGGAAACTGAGGACCAGGCTTTTCCAGGGCCTCCTATTCCCCAATGACCCACTCATGGGGACCATTCTTAGGACCAGCTCTCTGATCTCCAATCATCCTCCTCATCCCAGGTCGAGACCATCCAAATGACCTGGCCAAACCCGAGATGCCTCTGATGCCAGAGACAGCCCACAGCCCTGGGTTCAGTGCCTTTACACGGCTTCAAATCGAACCACCCTTGCTGATCCTGGCCCAGGGACAGTTCTGGAAAGGAGGTGACATCACTACCCATCAACTGGGGACCTCCATCTTCCATCCGGACTCCTGGCTCAGCCTGTGTCCCTCCCTTCAGAAGCCGCAGCTGCTTGTGCACTGGTGGCTTCTCATGTTTCTGCCTTGGTTGGGCAGCCCTGAGACCTAGAGACTGTCCCTCCAGAGGGGCACAGGCAGGACATATGGCCCAAGGGGCCATGGCAGGCCACACCATCACCCTCCTGGCCCAGCACCTACCTGATTTGTTCTTGTATTCGATGTCGAAGCCTGTGATGAGGCTGTTCCCATCGAATCGCTGGGTCCAGCGCAGGTTCATGCTCCGGGCCTTCACCTCCCGGATCTCCAGCTCTGGGGGGTCCGGAGGCTCTGTGGTGCAGCAGGGGAGGGCAGGGCAGGGAGGGGAGGGGAGGAAGTGAGGAGGGCAGCAGGGAGCTTGGCCTCCTGCTTAGCCCTGGGGGTTGGCATCATCTGGGTCTAGCCAAGGACTCTGACACCCTGGGGTTTGAGCAGTTGGTGGCTGGAGGAGGCCAGCAGCCGGGCTGGGAGGCTGAGGAGGCCTGGCTTGCTCTCCTGTCTTGCTGCCATCTTGTTCTTTGTCTGGGAGAGGGCTGGCTCTTCTGCAGGGATTCTTGTGAGCTGACGGCACTTTTCCCCTTCCAACGCTCCCAGCTTGACTTTCCCTTCCCACACTTCCCGCAGGGGTCTGGACCTGAGCTCCTCCACCCCTCCCCAGAACTGGCAGTGGAATCTGTAGCCACTGCAGCCATCGCAAACTTTTGCTGTCTACGTTCTTGGAAAGGTCCTATCTCCCTATTCTAGGCAGGAGGGCAGGTGGAGAGAGGCTTTTCCCCAGAAGGCTGTTTTCTGTCATCCTCCACCGTGGCATAGGCTGTGGCTCCTGCTCTTTGAGGTGGCGTTAGTGTACCACTGAGCCCTGGGAGGCAGGATGGTAAGGGCGAGGCAGGTGACTGTACCTTGCACAGTAAGTTGAATCAAGCCCCGGTCCTCCCCATACGAGTTGATGGCATGGCAGCTGAAGAACACAGAGTCCCCACGGTCAGCTGGCTTGAGCTGGAGACCACCAGCAGGAGAAGGAGAGGGAGGAAACACGGAGAGTCTTTTAGAGCTGGTCAGCTGAAAGGGCCACTCCAGGGCTATTAGCAAGGCCTTCTTGTTCTGGGAGGGGGACCCACAGGGGCTTTGTCAAGGGCTTCTCTTCCCAGGGACTTCCAAAGATGAAGTATGGAGGGCTTCATACGGGGAGGGGCTGGGGGACACAGGAGGGAAGCGGGGAGGGAAGGAGGGGCTGAGGAGTCCTAGGGGAGTGAGAGAAGCTGTGGGGGTCCCAGGGGAGTAAGAGGGGCTGAGAGGTCCCAAAAGGGAGAATGGAGCCTCTGGGGTTCCAGAAAAGAAGGTAGGACTGAGGAACCACATTTAATTGCTGTGGGGTTGTCAGAAAGGAGATAGAGTGAAGTTCTGAGACAGAGAGTCCTGGATAGAGAGGGGAATAGGTGGGAAAGGGGAGGTACATTTTTGGGGTGTGGGGAGAGGGTCCCAGATTCCCCATTTGCCTCCTGGATGCAGATATGATAGTTGCAGGCTCCCCACTCTCTGAGAGTCAGGGTCCCCCAGGACTGGGGTGAGGGCACTCACCTTCAGCGTGGAGATGACCTCGTCACCATTGTCCTTGGTGGCAATGGCGTACCGCATGACGCGGTCAGGGTCGATGACCGTGTCCCCCTTCTCCCAGCGGATGATGATGGGCCTCTCACCCCGTGCGGTGCAGTTCAGTTCTTTCGCATGGCCCTTGATGGCGATGGTGGTGTTGGGGTGGGAAGTGATCATGGCCGGGACTGTGGGGTGGAGGTGGAGGGGGCCCAGTGAGGGTCTCGGGGCCAGCCTGGAGAAGGCATGCCTGCCCTGAATAGAAGCCCCCGCCCAGCCACCCCTCCCTGAGGAGAGGCTCCAATAAAGGAGTACAGGGAACCCCACTGGTCTGTCCCTTCTCCCCTGGGGCAGCCTCCCTCTTCACCAGGGGTTCCCACATTCCTCCTCTGGGGAGGCAGTGGACTGGATTCAGAATGCCTCTACATGTATATCATACATAGAACTACAAAGGAAACCAGTTAGATCAGAATATGGTTGTGCAAATATTCAAAACATGAACAAGCAAAGCTTCGACATTGTATATCACATATCAGTGTGCGTTCTTTACTACTCGTTATAAAATAGGATCCGGTGGTAGCTTGTACAATTGCTGTCTTATATCACCATGATCCTGTAACAGTGCTGCATATAAGTGATATTTTGAGATATCTGCAATCACTGTGATGTGATGGGAGCATATCTGAGGATTTCTGCTGGCCACAGTCACAGGGGCTGCTATTGCTGTGCTTTGTTGCTTATGTTAAAATGGAAGGAAATACCAAATTTCAGTTAGAAGTTAGTGAAAAAATGTGATTTTCCCTCTACCCACATTCATGGATCCCCCTGAAGCAGATCTATAGAGCTTCTGGAGGCTTCTGGACCCCAGGTTAAGAACCCTTCTTGAAAGCACCAAGGCTCTGCTTTTTCTCTATAGCTAAGGTTTGTTTATCTCCCTCCTATTCTTTCAAACAAGATACAAAGGAATCCCTTGGGCACCACTACCACAATTAAGACCCACAAGCGGTGCTAACGGGACTGGACTGAGAAAATCACCCCCAAACAACCAGGGCCCAGGCTGGTCATCAGGAGCCCCCATCCCCACTGTCCGGACAAGAAGCCTGTCAGTCACTGGCCCCTCCTCTGGGCCTGAGCACCTGCGCCAGCAGCAGCAGGAGGGGAGGGGCAGGGAAAGATGGTCTCAGCTGCGGCAAAACCCTGTCCCCCTTTCTCCTCCATCCAACTCAACGAAACACATGGGGCACTTATACCATCATGAAACCTTGTGCCAGGCTGGGGGAGGTACCATGACAATGAGACAGGGTCTTTGCCTCCGTAGGGAGGGGGAGACATACCTGCATGGGCCACATGAACTGGAGGAAAATCTGATGAGTGTTTCATCAAAGGGTTAGGAGACATTAACTTTGACTGAGGGGCATTGGGGAAGGCACAGTCCATCCATTCAGCAAGGATTTATTCAGACCTACCACGTGCCAGGTCTTCTCCTGGGTTCTGGAGCTGACAGTGAACAGGACAAACATGGCCTGATCTCATGTTTGAAACTCCGATGATCTCAGGGAGTTTCACTCTAGTGGTGAGAACAGACAAGACTAGCAATTTCATGAAGAGTGGTGTGTCCTATGCTGGGAAAAGTGCATAGCTCCTGACCTGGCAGGACTTAAATGGGGAGAACAGAGTGAAGGGCACCCAGGCAGGGGAACCTGCTGGAGCCAAGGCTCCAAGGCAGACATAGCAGGGCAGGTCCCAGGAAGGTTAGTGATTTGGGAAAATTTGCCTTCCCTTGGTTCCTGTCTTAGGAGGGCTGCCCAGGAGCCATCCTGGAGTATATAAATGGGGAGGGGCTGTCCTTGGGTGCAAGAATCAGAAACCCCCCACCCTGACCCCATTCAGGGGAAGACCTCTTGTCACAGCAGAGATCAGCTCACCCTATTCTGGTCACTGGTCTGCTTTGGGCAATTGTGCAAAAAGGGGCTTTGTCTTTTCTCTCCTCAAAACCCAGTCCCCTGCCCACCCCCTCTCCCCGTCCCCCAACCCACTGCACCATGTCTCTGCTCCATTTCGACAGCTGGCCCTTCTCCTCCTTCCTTCCAGGTATTCTCAGGGTTTCTTTCTCCCCCATTTTTAAAGGCCTGCTCAAAGTTCTTCCCAGCAAACTCTCCAGGGACATCTGACTTTTATGGACAAATAAGCCTTTGAAGAAATGAGGGGAGCCACAGAGCTGCACAGTGCCATCTGACACCAGTCTGTGGGCAAGGAGATGTCTGGGACGGGAGTGGAGGGATAAAGGGAGGTGTCTGGCTCCCTGAAGTCACACCACACAGCAAGCCACCTCCTCTGCTGCCTCGTCATGCAGGACTTGATGCTGACGACAGCCCTGGCCCCCAGGCCCCCGCACCAGCCCCTCAGCACAATCCCCAGCCCCAGCTCATCAAATAATGAAGCAGATAAATTTTATAATGCATGGCATTACACTAGGATATACAATAAAATGCGAAAGACAAATAACGAGGTGCAAGTTATAATGAAGAAAAAGCCTGCAGTCAGAGACATCCGAGTATGAATTATTGACTAAGGTTTTACACTCAAGGATGTGCAGAGGAATATTTTTCCATCAAAGATTTGCATAATTCACTCGTATAAACCTGGGTGGAATATAGAGTAAGATTTTATATCAACAAGTCGGGCCTTGCATTGCAGATGCCTCCATTTTTTATTGGAGGATTGAGATGCTCAGGTGTGGGGGAGGCTCGTAAGGGGATTGGGGCCTGGGACCCCCGTGGGTCGGGCCCTGAGACCTCCTTCCTGGGGAGGAATCCTGTTCCTGAGAAGTTGCTGCTGAAGCCACAGAGGAGCGGGGGAACATTGTGTGTGTGTGTGTGTGTGTGTGTGTGTGTGTGTGTGTGTGTAAGTGGGGCTGGGAGGGAGAGTCCCTCTTTGGTAGGAGGACTTCATAGCTGCCTGTTCCCCAGGCAGGCCTGCACTAGCCCACCCAGGGTCTGTGTGTGAATTACAAAGGCACCCTCACCATGCTTCTGACTGGATGCTGCCTGGCGCCAGGAGCCACAGCTAGCCCAGTGGAGCAGGGACCACGTTTCAGACCCCATCCACCCCTGAGGCTATGCACCTTTGAGCAGTGCACAACCTGTGTGTCCATACATGCCATTCTCACTTCAGGGAACTTGTCTTTCTGGTCAGCTTTGTTCAGCACTGTGGGCAGCCAGGGACAGCAGGGTTCCCAGGGATCCTTGGCCCCTCAGCCCTTCTGGGGCCTGAGACAGAGTCCCTTCACCTTCCTACCAGCTTAGGATGGCAATGAGCACCACACAGCACAGCCTAATGCTCTCCTTACAGCCCCCTAGTTCAGGGCCAGTTCAGGGGAGCCTGTTTATGGGAGGAGGAGAGAGGCTTGAGGGGCTTGGGGACCAGGCCAGCCAGGGATCTGCTTCTGTGGCTGAGCTATGTGGCCTTCCATCCCTTAAAGCTAACTTCTTTGAGCCCCAGAGAGCATTGTGAGGACAAAGTGAACCCGCATAGGTAAACTGCCTGCCACACAGCAGCTGCTGAGAAACCTGGGTTCTATTTCTATCCTCATCCACCCCTGAGGCTTCTATCAAGACAGGAGCTCTTTTTTTATAGAAACGTGATGTGCAACATAGACTAATGTCTTTCAGTTTATGTGGCAGCAGAAGGGTCTTTTGGGTAGGCGGAAAAAGCCTAGGTCTGTGGCCTGAAGGTAGACTGCGGTGCTGAAAGCAAATGTCAGAGAATGTGGCACCCAGGCAATAGACGACCCGGCCAGAGTCAATCTCCATTGAAGTGCTCAGAGTGGCTCTTTTTGGCCTGGCCAATGGTTCCTTGTGTCATAGGTTACACCCGCTGCAGCCAGCTCTGGCCAGTTGCAGTCTGATAGCCAGAACCCCACCGGGCTGGTATAACGAGCCCCTGAATTCAAAACACCTGGGTAACAGGTAATAAGGACTAGTTCACACATACAAGTTGGAAGGAAAAGGCTGTGTGGCTTGATATACATTACCAGACTCCACGGAAAAGACCCAAGAGAAAACTAGGTCAGAAGTCATTTCCTTGTCCATCCTTGCCAGTGCAGGTGAATGCAATCAGCCAATTAACAAAACTGGGTTGGCTGAACAATGAAGTTATGTCCAAAATGGCGGATGTGAAAGGCGCATGCCTCATGCGAGAAGGAAACAGAACCCTGGTGCGGTAAGATGGGTGTGTATGCTTTCATGGGAGTACTACCAGTCCCTTCCAGGCCTTGCCCCTAAAAGTGAATCTGGGAAGTAGAAGGCTGTATAAGACCCGTGTCTATTACTCCTACAAATTCAGAAAATACAATTGTACAAGTTACTGGCTTCACGTGTTGCTTGCCAGGCGCTTCCACAGAATCCTAGCATTCTAGCATTGCGGAGCCCAGAGGAAGACCTGCTCTGCTGAATGTGTAGCAGCTGCTGGCCACATGGGGCTGATGGGCACTTGAAATACAGCCAGCCCAAATTGGGGTGTGTGATAAGTATAAAATATACACTGGATTTCAAAAATGTAGAAAGAAAAAAAAGAATCTAAAATACCTTTTTTTTTTTTTTTTGAGATGGAATCTTACTCTTGTTGCCCAGGCTGGAGTGCAGTGATGTAATCTCAGCTCATTGCAACCTCCACCTCCTAGGTTCAAGTGATTCTCCTGCCTCAGCCTCCCAAGCAGCTGGGATTACAAGTGTGTGCCATCACTGCCCTACAGCCCTTCTGCCAATTTTTGTATTTTTAGTCGAGATGGGGTTTCACCATGTTGGTCAGACTGGTCTTGAACTCCTGACCTCAGGTGATCTACCTGCTTCGGTCTCCCAAAGTGCTGGGATTACAGGTGTGAGCCACTGCACCTGGCCATCATTAAGTTTTATATTGACCACATGTTACTATTTTAGATGTATGGAGTTAAATAGAATATACTATTAAGATTAATATCACCTGTTTTTTTTTTTTAACCTTTTTTTGAACATGTGGCAAAGAGAGGAGTGTAAATTACATATTATTTGGCTCACATTATGGTTCTACTACATGGCATTGGTATAGATGAGCTACACAGACCCTTCCTTTGGCAAATGAAGAAACCGAGGCTGTGCAAGGAAGCACTTTGCCCAAGGTCACGTTGCTAGTAAGCAGAAGAGCATCTTAA